ATTTATTACTGAAATAGATTTTTATTTAATGAGTGGAGACTGCTTTTTTGTTTCATCGTATGCTTAATTCAAAATTTTGTTGTAATTGCTCATGTAATGCAGTGCTTTACATTTTATAAATTTAATACAAATACAGAGTCTATGGTACTATCTCCCAAGACCAAATATGACAATGGAATTAATGAAAAATTTTGAGGTCTCATAAAAAAAAAAACTTTTTATTTACTTAAAAAGATCAATAAGGAAAAGAAATGTTTTACTAAAAGTTTATGAAATAAGGTTTAGAAGAGTCCAGTATAATCCAACAGAAGTGCAAGAAGTTAGAAAATTCACACACATATATTCAGTGAATCCAATTCTTTGTAAGGTTTGTCTGTGTTCTCCTCACACTACTGCAAGTTATCACTGTCTGTATATTTCCATTCTTCTCCTGTGCATATATGTGTGTCACCTCCACAAAATACATGCTAATGTTTTGTGAGGCAATTTATGTTTTTTTACTCTCTTACTGTCTTTCTCCTTTCTCTTATACCTTTCATAATCATAAAGTCTGTCTATTATAGGTAGTGGACACAATGAGTTCAGGTTGGAAAATAATGAATTAATGACGGTTGCAAGTAAAAAGATAAAAAAAAATATCAACCTTAAGACATAAAACTAAAACAATTCCTTTTATGGGTCAGCAAGTGGCATAGTGTTTAAGGCACTGGATTCCCACACTATCAACCACAATTTGAGTTCCAGACTCAGCGGCTAAAAACTCCTGTCAGGCATGTGCGTGTGCGTTCTCAAAATCCCAGAAGGAGAGAACAGAGAAGGGATTTGTGGTGTGGCCATCTCCCTGGGGAGGAGTGATTTCATACCTCCCCTCTCTCTTTCTCTCTCTGGTGGGCACATGGGCCCTATGGGGGGAAAAATTCCTTCTAAAAGATTGACCAAAAAAAAAAAAAAAAAAAAAAAAGGAGGGGAGAGTAGTATATCTACTATAACAGGGGCTTGAAATGCTGAGGATAGCTAAAAATAAAAAGTAATGATCACTACATTTCATCCTACTCATAATCATTTCTAAGTATCAAGATCTCTAATAAATTCTTAATAAACATTTGCTGTGTTTGAAGAAAAATGTGGCTCTGATAAAGAATAATGATATACAATGGATTTCTTCAAATCCTTACCACATGTTTGCTTTTGTAGCAATCCTTCCTTCTCAATAAATAGAAAATTCATCCTTCTAGTTTTTCAAGCCAAAACTTGAGTTAGTCTTAAGAACTGAGACTATCTTTTCCTCTCCAAAGCCCAAATTAAATATAGCAGAAAGTATTCTTTGATAAAAATTCTAAACATTGCTCTTCAATTTTACTGCTACTAACTGCTCTTTTTAAAAATACTGGATGCTCCTAGGCTTTGTTGTCATGTTTTAAGGATGTGTGTCCTGTCTTGACATGTTGATAGGTTCATGTACCTACCATTTGAACAGAATCCCAACGTGTTTCCTGACTTTAAGTTTTAAGCAAAGTTTCTTGGGATTTCTTTGATTTAAGTTAAAACTGCTTTTTTTAAAATTACCAGATGAACTGGTTATTGAAGGTTGTTAGATTATTTAAGAAGTTGTGTGATCAATACAATGTGGGGGGAAAAGGAATGGAAGACAAGTAGACACCAGAGATAGTGTGAGAAGAGGGTAGGGAAGGGTAGAGGGTCAGAAATAGGGTTTATATATATATATATATATATACCTGAGCATAGATTAGATGATAAGCATTTATTAAGCCATGGAGAAATAATTATTATTGAGTGATACATGAATGATCTATCTCATTCATTCACATGTGGCTATATTTCAAATTATGTAAATGCCATTTCATTTCAGTTATTTATATTGTGTAAAAAGCCACTCCAAACTTAATGGTATAAAACAACGACTTACTATTTCTTTCTTTTTATTTAATTTCCAGAAGGCACATGTGCTTCTGAGAGAGAGAGAGAGAGAGAGAGAGAGAGACTAGAATTGGAAAATTTTTGACAATAACATGTATGATTAAGCCACTATGCAGTATATTCTGTGTGGGAAATCACACTTTGTATGCTGTGAAGATGCTTAGGAAATGAATGTAAATTAAATTAAGTTAAAAAGAGTTTCAGGAAAAAGAAAACCTAAAAAAAAAAAAAAAAAGAATACTGGGTGCTGAGGTCAGCAGATGGCAAAGCAGGTTACATCACTGGACTCCCACATGACTGACTATGGTTCGAGTTCCTGACCCGGTGGCTTGAAAATCACGCCAGTGATTGCGTAGGATCCTGGGAGGAGAATGGAAGAGAAGGCATTGCAGAGTGACCATCTTTTCTCACTGTCTCTGTCTCTCTCTCTCTCTGGTGAGCACACTTGCCCTAAGGCAAAAACCTCTGGGTAGGGGCAAGTATTGAGTGCAGACAATGGGATAGCACTAAATTATAATATTCTGCAATGCTGACCTGACCCATATAGAAAGGTTCTGGTTTTGGACGCCTCTGAGTGTGCTGGTGCAATATAAACGTAATCCAAGGCTGACTGAGACTGAGAGTGGGTCACAGCTTCAGGGTCCTCTTGGGGGTGCTCTCTCTCTGTTTCTTTCTCTCTTTCTTCTTATTTCTCCCTCTGTTTCTTTTCCTTTCTAACTTACTACTCTCATAGTAGTTAAGGCACTGCACTCTCACATGACCTACCCCAGTTCGAGTCCCGGACCTGGTAGCTTAAAATTCATACTGGGTGCATGTGCATACATGCCCAAAATCCCAGGAGGAGAATAGAGGAAAAGGGATTGTGGTTTGGCTGTTTCCCCTGGGGGTGATTTCTCGTGTTCCCCTCATTGTCTGTCCCACTCTCTAGGTGAGAACACACATCCTAAGCCAAAAACCTCCCTCCCCCCAAAAATAGTACTCAAGCCTGGGAGGAGTATGAAGAGATTGCAGTATGGCTGTCCCCCTGGGTAGTGATTTCTCTTTTTCTCTCTCTCTGTCTCTCCAGTGAAAGTGCATGCCCTAGAGCAAAAATCACTCAAGAAGATACGTAAATAAAATAAACAGGTTAACTTTCAAAAATAATAATAATGACCAAGTCCCATCAATTATATAAAAAGACTGTGCAGTAAGAGTTAGACTTTGAAACATAAATAGATGATAGATAGATAAATAGATGTAGATAGATAGATGATAGAGATAGATATCCATCTATGTAATGCATTTATCAATATCTGTCTATTCATTTATTTCTTCCTATGTTATTCTAATGGGTAGATAAAGTTGAGAACTACTACCTTGCATCATTTTAGACACATACATTTGCTTTCTTACTGCTTATCTTTCTTAACACAATGCAAACTTTTACAGGCAAGGGGCTTGACTACAGTGACAGGACTTAGAGACTGAGTAAATATGTGTTAGTTTACTGATTAATAAACAAATACCCTTTAGTCAATATTTGTATAGATTATTTTCTCAGTGCCTCTGGCAACTGATACTATATTAATAATTTTAATAATTTAAGAATTTTGATCTGATATATATATATATATAGGTTTGAAGTTTTTGCTATAGGGCATGTGTGCTCACCAGAGAGACAGAGAGGCAGAAAGTGAGAAATAAATACCCCCTCCCATTGGAGATGGCCACACCTCAATCCTTTCTCCTCCATTCTCTTCTAGAGATTTTGAGGGCACACACACCTATCCTGAGTTTTAAGTCTCCAGGTCCGAGACTCAAACCTGGTAGACTATGTGGGAGCCCATCAATGTGACCATTTAGCCATCTGCTGGTCCCTACCTTATATATTTTTATGAGTTATTAAAAATTTAACTTTATTTATGTGTTTGCTTATTTTTAATTTGACCACAGGGATACAGTTCAAGTGCCAGAGAGAGAAATTGAGAAAACAAGCCACCAGGTCCAGGACTCAAACCGTGGTTGACCATGTGGGAGTCCAATGCTCTTAACCATGACACCACTTGCCAGCCCTCCGCCTTATATTTTTATTTGCTAAAATATTTAGCAAAGCATAGTTGGTTCCTAAATGTGGTGGACAGATTTCTAAGATGATTCCTGTCCTGTGGTGTACATCCTGAGTGTGGATAAAATTTGTGAACACAGTGAGAAAGTCTTTTCTTTGGTACATTATGATGCTGGAGGCTTACAGTAGCATCCTAGAGTGATGCTCCTCTGCTAGAACTGAAAAATTATGCTACTGCACTGTAAGGAAGTCCTGCCTGTGTCTGGGACCTGAGGGAGGCTTCTAAGAACTGAGAAGGACCCCAAGCAAACATCCAGCAAGAAAATGGAGATCTTAGCTCCATAATCACAAGGAACTGAATTACGCAGACACCTGACTGAGGCTGGGAGACTATCCAGATACTCAGGTGGGCATGTAGCCCTGGCTGACTCCAGAAAAGAGACTCAGCAAATAATGCTTTGAAAATGTGGGCCCAGCAGTTAGTGTAATGGCTATGTCACTGGACTCCCATGTAGTTGACCGCGGTTCGTGTCCCGGACCCAGTGGCTTAAAACTCACGCCGGGCGTGTGTGCGTGCATGCCCAAGATCCCAAGAGAAGAATGGAGGAGAAGGGATTGTGGTGTGGCCATCCCCCCTGGGGGGTGATTTCTTGCTTTCTGTCTCTCTGTCTCTCTCTCTCTGTCTGTCTGGCGAGCACACACACCTTATAGCAAAAACCTCTTAAAAAAAAAAGGAAAAAAAAGATACTTCATTTTCATCTTGGGCTTTTATACTCTTCTGACACATTATTATGTAATCAAATAATTCTTTTTCTTCCAGCAAAAAGCACGAATGCAGTCCCCACTCCCAAAATTATCCAGCCAAGTTTCCCCTATTTGGGGAAATTGCAGGGGCCAGCACATCTGGAGTGCAATGGATAAGCCTCACCTTGGGAATACCACCTTCGTGATCAAGGTATCTCCCTTATTTATACCCTTCTGACACATTATTATGTAATCAAATAATTCTTTTTCTTCCAGCAAAAAGCACGAATGCAGTCCCCACTCCCAAAATTATCCAGCCAAGTTTCCCCTATTTGGGGAAATTGCAGGGGCCAGCACATCTGGAGTGCAATGGATAAGCCTCACCTTGGGAATACCACCTTCGTGATCAAGGTATCTCCCTTATCAGGTAAGTATAATAAGCAAATAAATTTTAAAATCTAGTTAATAAGCAAGTGCTATCTATTTATTTGCTACAGGACATGTGCACTCACCAGAGAAAGAGAGAGAGGTAAAGTGAGAAATTAACTACCCCGCCCCCACTCACCCACGCCCCCCCTGCCCCCCTCCAAGGAGAAGGGCCATAGAACAATTCCTTCTCCAGTCTCCTTTCCGGACTTTAGGCATGATTATCATATCATTTCAATTGTACCTGGCATAATTTTCAGGTGGCCAGGTCTGAGACTTGAACCACACAGTTGGCCATATGGGATTCAGTTGACTTACCCTCTCCTGGCCAGCAAGTGCATTTTTGAGAGACTGTAAGATTATATGAATGTGTTAAAACTACAACTCTGCTAGCAGGATGGTACCATGGAAACAATCTGGAATTCCTAATTAAAAGAAACATTCACATTGCTCTTAATATAGTTCAGGCATTTTTCTAAAGGTATAATCTACATCTATTCATTTAATCATTGCAAAATCTCTGTGAGTTAGCTATGATTATTCACTCCAAGAACATGAAGAAGCCGAAGAGCCATACCCCAAGGGTACAGAGGTAATGAAGGTCAAAACCGCAATTTGAAACCTGGCTTTCCCGTCAAGAGTCTGTTCTCAAACACTAGGCCTGCTTTTTTCGTTGTAACCCTTAAACTCTAATATTTTAAGAGTAGTTTATTTCAACGATTTCGTCATCTTTTCGGTTTCTTGACATGCAAAAATGTGTTAATGGCTACAAACAGTGTTATTGAGAAGATTCACATATGTGTGTGTATCAAGATTAAAATGATCAAACCAATTAGATTGAAATGATAAAGCCAATTCATTTTCAAGTTCAAAAGTCCATCCTCATACACTGTGAGGATTATTTCTTTGCTTGGTTCTACTCTAGCAAATATGTTAAAAAAAATAGTAAAGATGTGTCAGATAGTGGTGCAGCAGTATAGTACAATTCTCTGTGAGGAAACTGCACATAGAAAGTTCCTGGTTCAAGTCCAGAGACCTCTCTGAGTATGCTGGGCAAGTGCTTGCTCATGATGTAGGGCTGAATGAAGGGTGGAGGTGGGTCACAGAATTCAATGTCTGGTGAGGCATGCTCTATGAGCACACTCATTCTCTGTCTCTACCTAACCATGAAATAAACAAATAAATAAATGTAATAATAAATAAAGTGTTGAATTTCCAACTCCCATGATTAAATTAGTAATTTTTTTTTTTGGAGAGATTTTCACTGTAGGGCGCGTGCACTCACCAGACAGACAGAGAGAGACACAGAGACAGAAAGCGAGAAATCACCCCCCAGGGGGGATGGTCACGCCGCAATCCCTTCTCCTCCATTCTCCTCTCGGGATCTTGGGCACGCACGCACACGCGCACGGCGTGAGTTTTAAGCCACCGGGTCCGGGACACGAACCGCGGTCGACTATGTGGGAGTCCAGCGACATAGCCATTACGCTAACTGCTGGTTCCCCCTTAAATTAGTATTTTTAATGTTTTTTTTTTTTATTTCAAGCTATAGTTGTGGTTCAGATGTTTAACCTTTAAATCACTTCATTTGTATGACCAATTAAAAACATAAAATATGGTGCTTCTAACAAATCTAGAGTACTTAAACATATGAAATAGTTCATAGCCATATGGATCTCTAATCAAAGATATACAAGAATGAATGTCAAATACATTCGTATTTACAATGTTTCCTAACTCCTCTGAAAAATATTTTAAATCTTTACCCTTTAAAAAATAATATTTAGGAAAGTTATTTGCTGTAAGAATTGTTTTCCATTTGATACATCAATAAATGCAAATTTACAGTGTTGAATACCCATTTCGATGTACAGCGCAACTATATCTACATCTAGGCCTACAAATGAGAGTCGATCAAGTATGTTTCTTTTCAATTCATCCTAATTAAATGAGGACAGCATTTTTAGTACCATTTTACACTTTTTTTTCTTTTTTTGGGGGGGACAAGATTTGCTATAGGGCACATGTGCTCTCCAGAAAGACAGAGCGACAGAAAGTGAGAAATCACCCCCCAGGGGGGATGGCCACTCCACAATCCCTTCTCCTCCATTCTCCTCTTGGGATCTTGGGCACATATGCACATGCGCCCAACATGAGTTTAAGCCCCTGGGTCCGGGACTCAAATCACGGTTGTCTACATGGGAGTCCAGTGACATAGCCATTACACCATCTGCTGGTCCCTTCTTACACAATTTTTAGTGCCATATTATCAACCTAGGAAGTTGATACCTTGATTTTGTATCTTTTCCATAGGAAATTGTACCATATCATCTGATTTTTTAAAAATATTATTAGTCAATTTTATAATATTTTAAATTTCCTTATTGGATTTTTCCCTGAAAAATTAGAAACCCACAGTTTGCATGGTTATTTTGAACTGAAGTAAATAAGTTTCAAGACTATTTCCTGATTTTTTTTAATTCACATTTCCTTTTCTTCTTAATAGTTCTAAATTTACAAACTGTAACATTCAGGTAGAACTGATTCTTCCTCCCTGAAATTATCCTCCCACTCTCAAAGTGGTTTTTCAGTAGGCTGCCCACATGATTTGTTGAGTTCAATAGACAGTCTGTGTTTTCCAAACAGAAGGTTGTGTGTCATATTATTTAGCACTCTGATTGACATGGAAACACAAAATTATGAGGCTAAGACCAATTTTGTCCTTAAAACTTCTAAAAATATTCATCCTTCAGTTGGAAATAAGATCAACATGACTCACATGAAGACAATAGAGAGAGTTTGGAGAATGAGAATTTAAAAATAAAATTCTGTTTTGGGAACCAGCAGTTTGCGTAATGGTTATGTCGCTGGACTCCCACGTAGTTGACCGCGGTTCATGTCCCAGACCCGGTGGCTTAAAACTCACGCCAGGTGCGTGTGCATGTGTGTCCAAGATCCTGAGAAGAGAATGGAGGAGACGGGATTGCGGTGTAACATTCCCAACCTGGGGGGTGATTTCTCGCTTTCTGTCTCTATGTCTTTGTCTGTCTGGCGAGGGCACGCGCCCTATAGCGAAAACCTCTCCAAAAAAAAAAAAAAATTCTGTTTTTTTTTTTTTTTTTTCATTCTGAATCAAATTTCAACTGCTACCTCAAGTTATATCTTACTGCTCAAACTCAAATTAGTCAGTTAGTAGAGTTCCTTTTTTAAAACAGTTTGAGTCGTGTTCACACCATGCATAACTAACAGCAAGAAAGACAACTGGAATATTCTGTGATATTTTTCCTTCCTATGTAAGGAAATGACTTATTAGAAATGACCTTGGGCACAGTCCTTGGTAAAAATGTTGATCATTGATGGATTACAATAACCCGTCATCTGCTGAATTTCTTGGCAATATATTTTTCCCCTCCCTACAAGAAAATTTAATTTTAGCCCTTGTCGTTTGCCATTAGAGCCTTCAGCAGTAAATGAACACAGTGAGATGCCTCATTTATAGTTTTGATGACCATGAAAAGTCTCTGATAGGGCAAAACAGGAAAAGAAAAATTAGATGAGTATTCCCAAAATGGACCTCATGTAAGCGTACCTGGCTGGGGAATGTTAAGAGAATGTTAAATATTATATTATGACTTCAAGAGATGCTTTACTCCAAATTTCAAGTTCCCTCAAATATAAATGTTGACTTTTTTTCCTATCCTTAAGATAACAACATAAATAATTAGGGTCTATTTATCTATACTACTCATATCTTGATAGTCATTCCTGAGTAAGTAAAGCCCCAGAAGTTGGCAAATTTGAACAATTTTTATCCATATCTAAAGGTATGATAAGACAATTGGATATCAGAGAAAATGAAATTATTCAAATGGATGTCAGAATGCCTGCCTCCTGTTCAGAATCTGATCAAATGGGCTTTGAGATTTTCATCCAAACCTGTAGGTCTTTAGTCTATGATTTTCTTCTCTAGAACATTAGAATATTTTGGGGCCAACAGGTGGCATGGTGCTTAAAGGTGTTGGACTCCCACATGGCACCACAGTTCGAATCTCAGACTTGGCAGCTTGCTTTCTCACTCTCTCCCTCACTCTGTCTCTCTCTGATCAAATTGAAAAATGATAATAAGTAAATAAATAGTTATTTTTTTAAAAAGAATATTCTAAGGTATTTTCAGGTTCAAAAATAATGTGATCATAAAATAAAACAAGACATATTTTCTTTAGTTCAATGTTTAGTTTTGGGACTTGTCGTTTTCTGCCTGTTAGGTTTTCCTGGTTTTAAGGATTCACAGTTCTCAGAAAAAGTGAGATCCTCAGTAGATCCATAGAGACCACTGTGCTGTTCATTTATAGCAGAAACTGGTGACATTCTCTCATGAAAAAACTCAGTCTCAGGAATAAAGAATATTTTTGGCACATTTTCAGCTCATTTGGATCAGATTGCTTGGTCTTAATCATTGTGCTTTTTCAAGCATCATGCTCTGTTTAACTAAATGCCAGATGTAGGGCATATGAAATATTATTGATATTAAATGTCAAGAAGATAACAAAAAAAACCCACAAAAATAAAAGCAACAGAAAAAAATAAAAATAAAAATAAAAGCAACAGCAACTTTTGGGAGGTGAGAAAAAAATATCAAGTCTAATTAACTCAAATTCCCAAGAACATAGATCATTCTTTTATTTCATATTTTCATTACATTAGTTCACCTGCATTTGCACCTGGATGCAAATAAATATATATGTGTGTGTGTGTGTGTGTGTGTGTATTTTATATATACACACATATACAATATACACACATATATACACTTTATATATAAATATACATACATATGTAATATACATACATACACATTTATATATTTATATATATACACACACACACACACACATTCATATATATATGTGTATATGATATTTACGCACATAACCACATTTTTGCCCAGTCATAGTGGTGAAGAGTGGGATTGTTGTTTTGCCATGCAGGAGGCCATATGGGAAGGCTGT